CACTGTGCCCTTTGCTCCACATGCACTGTTCCTTACTATTTCCTGTAAGAGTTTTATGGGCATCTTCTACTCACTCATGTTTCTATCATGTGTTCTTCAGATCATTTATAATGATGAGTTTTAGCTTGTCTGTAAGGAACTAGATTATTTGTCTTCTTCCAGATCTAAAGTACTCTGACTGGGAAATGTTTTAGCTGTGATTGTTGAACAGTCTTATTCTTTTACAGCTTGTTAGATTAGTATTTCTATACACACACACACACACACAATACACACACACACACATATATACACACACATACACACACATATATACACACACATACACACACATCTCTGCATTTTGTAGCTAAGCTGCAACACACACACACACACACACACACACACATATATATATATACATACACACATACACACACACATCTCTGCATTTTGTAGCTAAGCTGCAACACACACACACACACACACACACACATATATATACACACACACATACATACATACACACACACACATCTCTGCATTTTGTAGCTAAGCTGTAACATTTTTCATAACCAAAAAGGTCCTTGTGATTCACCCTTGGTAAATGCAATTTTGAAAAAGTCTTTTAATTTAGTGTTTTTTGGAAGTATCAAGTTCCAAGTTAAAAAATGGAATTTTATTGAATAATTACTGTTGGCATATCTCCTTGTTTTACTAGAATACATAGGAGACAGTGAACTTAGATCATCACCACCTCCCAGTGAAGCTGGGACCAGATTCTGAGGGAAATTTTCACTAACATTTCAAAGTCTAGGATAGAGTTAGTTTGAAAATGTGTATTTTACTGGCTTTTTTCTTCTTCTTTTTCACTTTTGATGTATGATGACATTTAAAAGCTTTATTGTTTTTGGCAAGTAGTCAAGTCTGCCATTTTGTAAATTTCTTTCTTTGATTTCATGTATAGAAAGTTCTCATTCGCTGATAATGTCATGTTTTCCTCTTTTAACACTTAGATTTGTTTGGAAAATTGCCTCATTTAAAAACATCTTTTTAAAGTATTGCACATTCAGAGCTAACCTTCAGCATGCTTCCGGGGCGCGCTCTGCTCAGTTGAAGTGTCTACGTGATCTGGCAGGCAGTGCTGTGTAATGCAGGAGATGCTGTTCTGTCCCCTTCCCACCTGGCCCTCTTCTTTTTGAGGTTTTTAAAATTTTTCACTTGTTTTATATGAATTTTTAATCACTCCTAACCAAGTTACAGACTCTTGTTAGCCATTTCTTATAATTGGGTTAAACTTCAAACATTGTTGCAGCTTCCTGTTGAGAAAATTTCCATACTCATCAAGTTGCCTTCAATATGGCATGCAATAAATTCCATCACATGTTATTTGAAGGGTTTTTGTAGCTTTATTCCAGATTGCTTCATAGATTTTTGGGATTGTTACAATGAGGCTCTTTTTTTTTTTTTTTTTTTTTTTTTCCATTATATTTTCTTGTTGATTATTCCTGGAATATAGAAAATATTTTTAAAATGTCAGTCTTTTCTGTTTCTTTTTTTACTATCTTTGCCTCATTTTGGGATCATATTTCATTGGTTAGTATTTCCAGCACAAGATTGATTAGTAGTGCTGATGACAAATATTCCATCTTTTTCCTATATGGGAATGTATCTGATGTTTCATTGTTAAATTTCAGGTCTCTCCCTTTATTTTCAACTTGGGTAATTTTGTCTAATATTCCCAGTCTTATATTCTTATTCCTGCTGTATGGATGTGGCAACACATATGCATACACCAGAGAGCAAATAATGGCAACAGAAATACTTTTGCTATAGCCGGTAAAGAGGCAACCATGGTGGCTTCGTTGCTTTAGATTCGGAGAAAAGTGGATAGATTTGAGGTTGGTAACGTTTGAATTTGCTGTGCGCAGGAAGGAATCGAGGATAAATCTTACTGAGATGAGGAAAGGGAGTAAATAAGTGGGATTATTCTTTTCTTTGGGGAGAAGGTACCTCGAGAGGGGCGGGAGGCAGTCACCTGTGCTCTAGGGTTGCTTCTCGGCCTTGGTGACAGAGGGCCCATGAGGCACGTGGCCGTAGTGCTGAGGGTTATTGCTGGTAGTTCAGGTGCTGGCGTGCTGATTTCTTTTTATCTAGTAGGATGGACTGGTTTTTGATACCCTTAATTTCCTGTGGGTACTGAAAGATGTCAGCTTTAAAAACAGTTCTTGCCCGGCCATTGCAGCTTAGTCAACTGGTTCACGGTTCAATTCAGCCGATCAATGATTCTCTTTTGTCACTTGTTTCTATCTCTTTCTCCCTATCCTTTCCTCTTTGAAATCAATGCGGTAGGTGTGTGTGTGTGTGTGTGTGTGTGTGTGTGTGTGTGTGTGTGTGTGTTTGTGTGTGTGTATGTATCTTTTTAAAATGATTCTTAAATGGAGTGAAAATCAGTCACTTACAGAACTTTAAAATTAATATGTTGAATTATATATACATTTTTGGTGTCTTTGTAGTAGTACTCTTTTCTGCTATATCTCATTCCATCACCTTTTGTTGTTTAACAGTAGTGCTTTGAGAGAAAATGGTATTATTAATGGATCTGATTTTCCTATTATTATAGTAATAAGTCTAGGGCATGACTTAAGCATGTGTGTTAAAAGCATTACAGCCAGGCTGCCATGACTCAGTGGTTGACCATTGACCTGTGAACTAGGAGGTCAGTGTTCAATTCCTGGTCATGGCACATGACCAGGTTGCGGGCCCAGTATAGGGTGTGCAGGAGGTAACTGATCAGTGATTCTCTATCATCATTGATGTTTCTGTCTCCCCTCTCCTTCTCTGAAATCAAAAAAATATATTTAAATAAATACATAAAAATAAAAGTACTGCATATGCTGATTCTCTAAAGAAAACTGAAATTTAAGCTATCAAAATGCAGCCATCTTCTATGAAGAATTGCTAACTATACCAGATCCTTAAACTGAGTTAGAAGCACTAAAACTGCCTGCCCTGCCTGCTATAAAGTAACTAGATGATAATAAAAAGCAGTAAATGTAAGATTATTGGGTTATATGACCGATCATTAATAGTCTTCAATATCAGCAATTGATTTTTTTTAAATGCATTTTTATTTATTTCAGAGAGGAAGGGAAAGGGAAAAAAAAATACAAACATCAATGATGAGGGAGAATCATTGACCAGCTGTCTCCTGCATGTCCCCCACTGGGGACCAAGCCCAAAATCTGTACATGTGCCCTTGGCCGGAATTGAACTTGGGATCCCTCAGTCCACAGGCCGATGCTCTATCCGCTGAGCCAAACCAGCTAGGGCCAACAATTGATTTTTAATCATAGTTGTTCGGTGATCTTCAAAATATTAGTTAACTTTTCTGTTGTCTTTCGATTAACTTATGGCTATGCAGGTAAGTTAAATTTTTATGAAGAAGAGAAGAACTGAAATTGTTCTTTCTTGTGTGCATGTCTCGGGTTGAATGTAAACACTACGGAAATGGAAATATAATAGCAAAGGCCTTGTAAACTTGTCTACAATATTTCAGGTTGAATATGAACACCAGTTAATGGAAATATAATGGAAAAGACTTTGTAATTCTTAGAAACTTGTTATAGGACCCCAAATAGATACATGAAAAAGCTATTCTAGCCTGGCCAAAGTGGCTCAGTTGGTTGAGCAACGCTCTGTTTGCACCAAAAGGTTGCCAGTTCGATTCCTGGTCAAGGCACTTGTAGAGTGTTTCTCTATAATATCTGTGTTTCTCTCTCTCCCCTCCCTCCTTCCCTCTAAGTATGTCCTCCGGTGAGGATTTAAAAATAAACAGCCCAGCCAATTCAACCAATGAACCAGGAGGTCACTGTTTGATTCTCAGTCAAGGCACATTCCCAGGTTGTGGGCTTGATACCCAGTGTGGGGCATGCAGGAGACAGCCGATCGATGATTCCCTCTCATCATTGATGTTGCTATCTCTCTCCCCCTCTCCCTCTCTCTCTCTCTCTGAAGTCAATAAAAATATATTTAAAAATAAATAAACAGTTCTTCTAAGAAAGAAAGGCTAGGGAAAGATTCCTAATATTCAGGAGTAGGCAAAACTAGGTTTTACAGTTGTATGTGACAGAGTTTATTCTTGTGTTAGTTATTATTGTGTTTGTATTGCAACTGTAATTGTACTTTTGTCCATCCCTGTATTTCTAATACATTTCCTTAAGTTTGGCCTATTCACTTGCCCTTACCCATCTGCATCTCAGACCCTTTTCCCAAGTCGGATCTCTAAGCCTGGGTTGCTTCATACACACTAATACATTATTACCACCACATCCTTCCTCACTTGAAATTCTTCTACTTACTGATAAGTTAGGAATTTATTCGTTTAGCAAATATTTGTTGAGTAGCTCTTATGTTCCAGATTCTGCTCCGGGCTCTTAGGACAACATTGGTGAGCCAGGTGCAGACTTCCCTGCCTGCCTGTGTGGAGCTCTTCTACGTGTTGATAAGCTAGGATGTGGGAAATGCTGAGGTGTAACCATTGCTCTTACATGTACTGCAAGGTTTTTGTGTTTTGTTTTGTTGTTGTTGTTGTTTTTTTCTTCTTTTTAAGAAATTAGTTCAACATCTTTTTTTAAATTAATTTTTAATCCTCACCCAAGGGTATTTTTCCACTGATTTTTATTTTATTTTTTATTTTTATTTATTTCTTTATTTATTTTAGAGAGAGTGGAAGAGAAGAGGGAAAGAGAGAGAAACATTGATATGAGAGAAACACATAGATTGGTTGCCTCCTGCACACACCCAGGCCAGGGAGGAGCCTGCAACCAAGGTACATGCCCTTGGTCAGAATCGAACCCAGGATCCTTTGGTCCATAGGCAACACTTTATCCACTGAGCCAAACCGGCTAGGGCTGTACTGGCAGATATTAATATCTTGTTGATGTTGAGTAGCCACATACATTTATCATATAGCCATCAATTGTTCAAACACTTAATAAATTTTTGTACTTTTATTTTAGATACTAATCTCAACGCTTCCGAATCTCATTATGAAAATTCACAGCGGGGACCTGTGTCATCTTCGAGCAACTCCAACACAGACTCTAAGGATGCTGTTGTAAACAACTCCCCTGAGAAAGAAGCATGGCCCTTGGTCCCTGGCAGTGATCCAGAGTTAGCTTCAGAATGCATGGATGCTGATTCTGCCTCCAGTTCTGAATCAGAAAGAAACATCACTATCATGGCTTCAGGGAGCACAGGTGGTGAGAAAGATGTCCTTCGAAACAGCACTGGACTTGGTTCCCAAAACAAGTTTGTGGTTGGCGGCAGCAGCAATAGTTTGGGTCGTGGAAGTAGTACTGGGCCCTGGGGCTTCTCCCATGGAGCCGTGATAAGCACATGTCAGGTCTCTGTGGATGCTCCTGAAAGCAAATCAGAAAGTAGCAACAATAGAGTGAATGCTTGGGGCACTGTAAGCTCTTCATCAAATGGAGGGGTAAATCCAAGCACTTTGAGTTCAGCTAGCAACCATGGTGCCTGGCCAGTATTAGAGAACAACGGACTTGCCCTAAAAGGGCCTGTAGGGAGTAGTAGTCCTGGCATCAATATTCAGTGCAGTACCATAGGCCAGATGCCTAACAATCAGAGTATTAACTCTAAAGTGGGTGGTTCTTCTACCCATGGTACCTGGGGAAGCCTTCAGGAAACTTGTGAATCCGAAGTAAGTGGTACACAGAAGATTTCATTCAGTGGTCAACCTCAGAATATCACCACTGAAATGGCTGGACCAAATAACACTACTAACTTTATGACCTCTAGTTTACCAAACTCCGGTTCAGTACAGAATAATGAGCTGCCCAGTAACGCGGGGGCCTGGCGTGTGAGCACAATGAATCATCCTCAGATACAGGTTCCATCGGTTATGAATGGCACTTCCCTTCCTCACCTTAGCAACGGGGAGTCAAAAAGTGCAGGCTCTTATGGTACTACCTGGGGTGCCTATGGTTCTAACTACTCTGGAGACAAATGTGCAAGCCCCGACAGCCAAGCTGATGGTGACACTGTGAACACAACTCTGATGCAGCCTGGCATGAATGGGCCTGTGGGCACGAACTTTCCAGGCAACACAAATAAAGGAGGAGGCCTCTGGGAGTCTGGGCCCACAAATTCCCAGGGTGCATCCTGGGGAAGTGGAAATGGTGCAAACTTGGGAGGAAGTCGAAGAGGATGGGGAACTCCTGCACAGAACACTGGCACTAATGTACCCAGCGTGGAGTGGAGCAAACTGCCTGGCAATCAGCATTCCAGTGACAGTGCAAACGGCAATGGTAAGAAGTTTACAAATGGATGGAATTCTACTGAGGAAGAGGATCAGGGTTCTGCCACATCTCAGACAAATGAGCAAAACAGCATGTGGGCCAAAACAGGAGGTACAGTGGACAGCGAAGGTAGCACAGAGAGCACTGGACGCCTCGAAGAAAAAGTAACTGGGGAGACTCAGAGTAGAGACAGAAGAAGAATTGATCAGCACACATTACTCCAAAGCATTGTTAGCAGAACTGACTTAGATCCACGTGTCCTATCCAACTCTGGTTGGGGACAGACTCCTATTAAGCAGAATACTGCCTGGGATACTGAGACATCACCTAGAGGGGAAAGAAAGACTGACAATGGGACAGAGGCTTGGGGGAGCTCTGCAACACAGACTTTTAACTCAGGGGCGTGTATAGACAAGACTAGCCCTAACAGTAATGATACCTCATCTATATCGGGGTGGGGAGATCCCAAGCCTGTTCTGAGGTGGGGAGATTCCAAAGGCTCAAACTGCCAGGGGGGATGGGAAGATGATTCTGCTGCTACAGGAATGATCAAGAGCAATCAGTGGGGGCATTGCAAAGAAGAGAAGCCCATGTGGAATGATTCACAAAAGAACAAACAGGGCTGGGGTGATGGACAGAAGTCAAACCAAGGGTGGTCTGTTTCTGCCAGTGATAACTGGGGAGACACGTCAAGGAGTAACCATTGGGGTGAGGCTAATAAAAAATCTAGCTCAGGAGGTAGTGACAGTGACAGGTCTGTTTCTGGTTGGAATGAACTTGGTAAAACTAGTTCTTTTACGTGGGGAAATAATATAAATCCAAATAATTCATCAGGATGGGATGAATCTTCTAAACCTAACTCTTCCCAGGGGTGGGGAGATCCTCCAAAGCCTAGTCAGTCGCTGGGTTGGGGAGATTCAGCAAAGCCAATCAGCTCTCCAGACTGGAACAAGCAACCAGACATGGTTGGGTCTTGGGGAGTCCCTCCGGCTCCAGGCAAAACCTCCGGGACAGGCTGGTTGGGAGGACCTATTCCAGCCCCAGCAAAAGAAGAAGAACCCACAGGCTGGGAGGAACCATCCCCGGAGTCCATACGGCGCAAAATGGACATTGATGACGGAACCTCAGCCTGGGGAGATCCCAGCAAATACAACTATAAGAATGTGAACATGTGGAACAAAAATGTCCCAAACGGCGGCAGCCGCTCAGACCAGCAAGCACAGGTGCACCAGCTGCTGCCGTCCGCAAGTGCCATCTCAACCCCAGAGGCAGGCGGCGGTTCCGGTGAGTTGTTACTTTGTGGAGTCTGATGGTCTTACAGACACTTGACAGGACTATGGGCTTTGTTTGAGCTTACTTTATGATAAGATGTGTTGAACAGTATTTGCTGTGCACACAGAGGCCTGCTTTACTCTAATCCAAAGCTTATAGGGAAGAAAAGTATAGGGAAGGTGTTCACCATCAGGCAGCAGCTATGCCTTCAGCAGATTGGAATCTGTTCTCTTAGGAATGCTGCAGAAGGCGGAATTGGAAAGGTGGTATTGGGAGGGTATGCTGTACACTTTTTTCAGTTCTTCTGAATCAAGCTGCACTTTTTCTTCTATTACTGGACTAAAATATCTTCAGAAATAAAGCAGGTGTTAATGGCCATGCTCTAAATACTAGCTACTGTATTTGGCCTTATCTAAGTAAGCATGAAATTCAAATCTATTAGATGCATTGTGTATGAGTGTATGTGCCTGGAACATTTGACAGTGCCTTTCAAGTATATTCCCACTGATTTCTGGCTCTGCAAATGGTCTTGACAGTGACATTTTCATTGGGTGTCATTGGAATGTATTGTCTTACTTATTAATTGGATGTGGCAATAGGAGTGTTTTCATGAACTAAACCCCATTTTTATCCTAAGTATAGTTCATTGAATTAATTTAACTAGTTTAATTCTTAGAAGAAACAGCTGAGTATCTAAGGGGAAGGCTGTTTTTTGTGTATTTTTTTTTTTTTTTTTTTTTACAAATATGTTTATGGCTTTCCCTTTCTTTGCTTTGGACAACCTAATAATACTTAAAAAATTTTAAGAAGCATTGTCCAGCACATAGAAACATAGGGTGCATTTTTCCCGAATGATATTGATGAAAGGTTACATGTATGGTAAACATTCTATACACTCACTATTACCCAGCATGATCACCTGCTTTAATTCATTAGGTGTAGTTCAGACAGGCTTGACTTTTCAGGAATTAAATTTAACTTTTTTAAAGGAGATTACTTGCCATGAATAAGGTTACTGAAAAGAATCTACTCTATACCTAGAGGGCACTTATTGCAGTTAAATTACAATGATGGGAAATGCCTTGTCTTTACATAATACAGATGCCATCTGTTTTGCTCATCACAGCATCACTATAGAATACAAAAATGTGAAGTTCTTCATCTTTTGTTCCCTAAGTATTCCTTATTGCCTCTGATTCCACTGTACTTCCCTACCATGTGCTGATGACTTCTTTTCCACACTTTCTAAAGGCTGGGGTGAGCCCTGGGGGGAGCCTTCTACTCCAGCCACAACTGTGGATAATGGTACTTCAGCATGGGGTAAACCCATAGACAGTGGTCCCAGCTGGGGGGAACCCATCGCTGTGGCATCCAACACTTCCACGTGGGGCTCCAGCTCTGTTGGTCCACAAGCGTTAAGCAAATCTGGTAAGTGACTGATGACCCCTGGTAGCTCTTTTAGAGTAGTGGTGATCTCATTGAATGTAACTAATTGGATCATGTCAGTTTTTGTTAAGGTAGCAATGTGTCCTCATACTAGATGCCATTCACTATTTGGCTCTTTGAAATTGTAACATAGTTTGCTCTTTATCTTTCTGTATTTTCCTTTTTTCTCAGTTTCCTTAGAACTGCAACTATTAATGATTTGCATATATTTCACCAAGTCTAAATTATATTTTACCAGATTGGGTTATCTGGAAATAGTTAAGTAGCTGTCAGGCTATCCAGCATGAGAGATGGAATATAATAGTCACAGGGACATATATACCAATCATCTGGCACAGGTTCCAGATGATTCCCTGGACATTATACAGATAATGAGCAAATTTCAGGAAGGACCCGGTATTCAGATAATTACAGGACACACCATAGAAATTCCAAAAGCCAAGTGTGTAGACAGGATGCTTTCTGCATGGGACTTGCAATCCTTTTGGCCACTCGTCCTGAAAATATATATGAGAGTGAACTCTTCTAAGTTTCATCTACCTTCTTTGTTCTGTGTTGCCATGCAGATTAAATGCGTGCAAACAAGAATGCCGTTACTATCCTGTGTTTAGGAGACCTTGGGTTTGTAAAAGCATGAGAGATTTTTTTTAGAACTTTTAATAAAAATAAATTCTTGCTTAATGAAACTTTTAACTCAGTAAGTATTGCTATGCAAATTTGGGAAGGGAAATAAAAGTGAGCTTTTTTTATTCCCACACCCTGTTCCCTTACTGTATGCTCAATCCTCCAGAAAAAGTTGTTTTATTAAAGCACGTTTCTCTTTATATCACAAATCCACAACCAGGACCAAAATCTATGCAAGATGGCTGGTGTGGTGATGATATGCCATTGCCTGGAAATCGCCCCACTGGCTGGGAAGAGGAAGAGGACGTGGAGATTGGAATGTGGAATAGTAATTCATCTCAAGAGCTTAACTCGTCTTTAAATTGGCCACCATATACAAAGAAAATGTCATCGAAGGTAAACATTTCAAGGGCAACGCCCTTGCAACTTTAAATTCCAAAGGTAGTTTACCCACAGAAAGTTAATGTTCTGCCCATTTATGGCAATCAATGTAGTCCAGGCAGTCCCCAACGTAGGCATAGCGTCCTGTTTGGGCAGCCACCTAGGAAAATAAGACCACAGGAACTTCCTTTCTCCCCACTGCTACAGCTTGGGATTTCTCTCCTCCTCCCCTCCCACCAGTGCTGCCTGGGACAACCCTTCGCCTAAGGTGTTGTCTGCAGTGGTGAGAAGGAAGAGAAGGGCAAATCTCCATGTTGACTCCTGCCATTGCACTGCCAGTTCATCGCCCATTCCACCTCACCTGGAGTCCTGACTTCCCCTGTACCCAGAGTCATCCTCCTCCACCCATTACCTTTGCCCCTTTCCATCCCAAAAGGTTCTATGACAAAAATCCCTAGGAATGAGCCGAGCTCAATTTTGCTTTTATATGTGGGCAAATCTTATTCCCAGACCTGGCTGTACATCAAAATCATGTGGGATTTGTCACAAGTACAGCTTCCTGGCCTTCCTGGCCTTTTAGAAACTACTGTACTTTGGAAATTGAGCCACGTTGCGTGTCCTAGACAAACTTCCCCATGTTTATGCTGCAGAGCCAGGCTTGCGAAGCCCAGGTGTAGAGCTCCAGTTCTTAAGAGGCAGTGTTGGATGCTGGTGTCTGATTCTCCTGGAGACCGTTTTCAAAACACGTGCCCACTCTCCCAGGTGATTCTGATACATCCTCCCCACCTGCTTGAAACGGTTCCTTTTTAAGAGACCCTAGGAGTCAAGTATTTTGTAGTACAACTACCTGACTGCCAGGGTCCCTCTTTTTAATCCTGGGATTCTAAGTCTAGGACCTGCCATTTTCATTAAAGAACGTTTTTATTTGGCTGAATTTGCCCATTGCCTTGCCATATAGCTTACGAAGTGCTTTCCCATATTTTACATAAATCATTTGATCCTTTTAACCTTCAGAGATAGAATATTGATGAACCTGAGACTAGAAAAGTGGTGACTTGCCCAAAGTTTCATAGCTAGTAAGTGACAGAGCAAGGACTTAAGTTTAGGTCTTCCAGTTCCAAACCCCGTGTTCTTCCCACTGGACCGTGCTGTTTTGTGACTTTGTCTTTCCTTACAGGGTCTGAGTGGCAAAAAAAGGAGAAGGGAAAGGGTGTGTAGCCTTTTTACTCTTTCTCCTTTGTCTCTGCTAGTAAAAACCTTTTAGAAACAACTGCAAACATTTATTTAGCCTCTGCTGTGTGCCAGGTACTGTGCTTGGTGCTGGGGGTTCAAATACTAATCTCCGAGCTGCGCCTTCAAGGAGCTCGAGTCTAGTGCGGTCATGAGGAGCTCCCTGAGCTCTCTTCAAGTGTCAGCCTCACATTGGAACATGCCTTCGGGGGGCAGGGGAGGGTGTTTTAAGGAAAATAGTAGCCTGACATGACCAAAATGTAGATTTTTTTTTTTTTTTTTTTAGGAGGTCTGGCTATGTAGTTAGATTGGGGACAGGTTGTAAAGGTTTCTCACTACATGCCCAAGAATTCAAACTTTAGTCTGTATAAGTATGGAGCCAATGAAATTGAATATAAGGTAGCATCGGTTTGATTTTTTAAATTAACTTCTTTAAAGAACTTAACCAGTGATAGGATGCAAGGTAAATTGGAAGAGGAAAGACCAGCATTAGGGATCTGAGTTGGGAAGCAAGAATGGATACATAGTGGAAGGGACTGGTTTGAGAGACATTTGGATAGGACAGAAGGCCTTGGCAACCAGTTAGTCTTGGGGTGGGAGTAAAAGAGGAAAAGGAATCAAAGACACTTCAAAATCTCACAAAGGGTTAGGCGCTTGCTTCAGAGACCTGCCTTTAGGGGGAAATTAAGCCGTGTTCTGTTCCACAGTCAGAAGGAACAGGTAGTAGCATTGGGGAAGGGAAATTAAGGTAGCAGACTGGGAATGGTCCTGTGAGCTTTACAGTAAGTGGGAGATGTTGGTTCCTGTGGCTTGTAGGCTCCCTGTCTACCACTCTGCTAACCATGGACCATTCATTCTCTCAACTCACTTTCCAAAGCAGATTCTGTGTGATCCATATCCCAGCCAGCCTCCAAAAGCCAACACCAAATAGGAGGAACCCCAGGTTTAACTGCTGCTGGGGATGGTGTGTTGTTGGCAACACAAATTGGAATGCTGAAATGCTTGACATATGGAAATGTGTTTTTTCAAGTATGGGGCACACACAGCATAATTACGTTATGGGGTAAGCTGGCTGTGTTCACTCTATAAATCCAAACTATAATTATCTTTCCCAACACAGTCCGTTTGAAAATTAGAAACTGAGCAGTTCTCTGTTATTCTGAGGCCCTTTTTGTGGGTCATGGAGACCCTTTGCATCTACCTTTTCCTTCTGACTGCTTGCCTTCAGGGAGTTCTCTGTACATTACAGCTATACCAGAGGACTGGAGCAAAGGAAGTTGAAAATCAAACAAGTTGATTTAAAAATTTTTGACAACTCTGTTAAGAGTTGATTGGAGGAGCAATTGGCTAAAAATGAGAGTTGAGAATTGTCTTAGTTTATTAATCCACCACTATTCCCAGATAAATAGAAATGGCCATGGCATCTTTCTACTCTTTTATTTCACAAAGGGAATGATGAAGGGTGGAAACAAACAAGAAGAAGCATGGATAAATCCATTTGTTAAACAGTTTTCAAATATCAGTTTTTCGGTAAGTGTTCTATTTTCTTAAATTCTTTATCTTTGAGTTCTCGCTAGAGGTTAGAGTAAAATTGGCCACAGAGCCTTTATTTTTATAGTTTGAGCTAATAAACTGTAGTCACTTAGCTTATTTAAGAGGGATTTTTTTATTAGGCAGTGAAAAATGTTTTATGATGCACTTGAATTTCACAAATAATGAAATGTCAAGTAAAATTCTTTACTTTTTATTTTCATTGATAAATTAAGGTCTGCTAACAGGCTGCTTTTTCTTAACTTCAGAGAGACTCACCAGAAGAAAATGTGCAGAGCAATAAGATGGACCTTCCTGGAGGTAAGGAAAAATGAAATTAGTTTGAGTTTATATTCATTCTGATGGACAGACATGTCTGTGGCATGGTCCTACTAAAAGTGCACTGGCCTTGGCCACGAGTGGACACTGGGCTCTGGGTGCAGAGTTGATGTGCATATGTGTGTGTGTGTGTGTGTGTGTGTGTGTGTGTGTGTGTATATGTATATATGTGTGTTATATATAATTTATGTTTTTTAATCTTCATCTGAGCATATATCCATTGATTTTTGAGAGAGAGGAAGAAAGGGGTGGGAAGAGAGAAATACCTATGAGAGAGAAACATCGATCAGTTGCTTTCATTATCCACCCCACTAATGGGATCGAACATTCAACCTTTTTGGTGTACAGGATGATGCTCCATCCAACTGAGCCACCCGGGCAAGGTGTGTCGATAAGCCTTTAAATTGCAAATCATTGTGAAACTAAAATAGTGGTAACATCAGTCTGAAGTATGGGATTAAAAATTTTTAAGCAGGAGAATAACATGATTTGGATTCATGTTTTATAAAAATAATCTTGGCTGTAGATTGAAGATATCTTAGGCCAGAAAACATTGGCAGCAGAGGACAGACAGAAAGATACTAAACACAGCAAAACCATTAGATATTTGTTGCACTAAAGAGCGAGAGTTTCTAAGCTCCAAACCAAGACAGTAGGTGTGAAGAATCTAATTCAGTGAAGATGGATTTAGAATCGATGAAAGTTGAACTAGTTTGCTGTGGAGGGTGAGGGTATGGGTTTGGTAAAAGGTTATCCCCAGTGTTCTTGCCTGGACAGTTCAGCAATGGTTGCATTAAGTCTGAGTCTAGGCAGAAGAGGGAAACTATGTAGTAACTTGAACAGGGAAAGTTTAATATAAATATAAATTAGTATTGAAATAATGATGGCTTGGCCAATAAGAGGTAAAGAGAAAGAATGTTGTAAGTATTCTACAGAATATATAAAGAGCAGATATAAGAAGATAGCCTGCCCCACCCACCTCACCCCAGGGCTGGGATCAAGACTCCTGGACATGCCCTAGCTGGTTTGGCTCGGTGGATAGAGTGTCGGCCTGCGGACTGAATGGTCCCAGGTTCGATTCCAATCAAGCGCACATGCCCAGATTGCAGGCTCAATTCCCAGTAGGGGGGGCCTCCAGGAAGTCACCGATCAATGATTCTCGTCATTGATGTTTCTCTCTCTGTCTCTCCTTCCCTCTCTCTCTTCCTCTGTTAAATTAATAAATATACATGGCCTTAATTCAGTGCATGGCAGAGAAGTCACTGAGGTGTCACCCCTGTGTGACTATTGGAAGCCCACCTTTTAGAGGAATTGTCTCCCTGGAGGTGCTCTGCTATAAAACTGCCTGGGGCTGCTGACAGGAGCTGCTAGCCAGTGGTGAGCAGGCATGGCTGGAGCCGGAGCTGGACCCACCCTCTGCCTGTGCTGCAGGGGGGAGCCCTGGGACCAGGAAGCAGCCTTTCCTCCGACAGTGTCTCCCTGCACCTCTGCTGAGAGCTTCAGTGTCTCTGGCAAAGAAAATAATGTGGAAACCAACTGCATTTCTAAAATGTGTCTACTCTAGGAATATTTTTGTTTTTTAAGAGCTTTTCTTTTCACTTGCCTAAAATGAAGTTCTGTGGTGGTGGCAGTAACAGATACCTCAAAGAACAACAGTTGCAAAGAAATCGATGAGTGAGATTGGAGAACAGAGAAAATAGGGAGAATGAGAGCCAGGGAGACAGAGAAAGAGATTTTCAAATCTGTATGACTGCTCCGGTGAAGGGAGATCTGGGGAAATGTGCTTGGTGTCACCTATGAGAGGTTATGCTTATGAGCAGGCACTTAAAGATGTGGGACTACGTGTAGGTGTGAAATTAAAATAGATGTTTGTATTTGAGGAGCACATGCATGGGAATGGCTGTTGATACATTGGGAGCAAAATAGTGAGGGAAGGGCATTTGTAGAGTATACTGAGTTTCTCTGCTTTGACTGAGTCCGCCTTGGCATATCCCAGCATTGAAGAAGCACAAGGAAGTGGGCCCAGCTGTGGAGAGAGGGTTCGAAACCAGGGTGGGCATTTGGTAAGGACATGGAGGCAGACAGCAGCGTCCATGTTTGAAAGATTTGTTGAAGTATGGTAGCTGGCGGCTGGCTGTTTCAAGCAAAGGTGATTTTGCAGGATGGGAGTTTCCAGGAGAGGAGATCCTGTTTGTTGCAAAGAAATCAAAGGAGATTAATGGGCAGAGCAAGACCTGTTTAGCCTCCAGCCTCCTCATCTGTTGGCAGGCGTGAATAGGAGCTGTGGGCACTAGCTTGGAAGGCACAAAGCACAGAGTAGAATGCCTGGCCGTGTGTCATGCTGCTGTTTTCTTATTGTTACTGCAAACTGTTTATTACAAAATTAGCCAGACTAGCGATGACCAAAGATGTCTTAGCCTTCTGTTTTCAAGTTAACTGGTTCAGTAAAATAACAGTGTTAGCCAAGCCCAGCTTGGCTGTGAGGAGCATGGGGTTTACTAAAGGCAAGTGCATTTCCCATGTTCTTGTCCAGGCCGAAGACAGGAAGGGAGGATTTTGCTTTTCACTGCAAATTTGTCTGAAACCAAGTAGATTAATTGTCTTCCTGCTGGATAACGTCATTTTCTGCATTTGTTAGGAATGTTACAAGACAAACGAATGGAGATAGATAAACATAGCCTAAATATTGGTGATTACAATCGAACGGTCGGGAAAGGCGCTGGTTCTCGGCCTCAGATGCCCAAAGAGTCTTCCATGGAGCGCAGCCCTTATTTTGATAAGGTGAGCTGTTTCTTGTTTTACCCCTGGGGCTAATAAACCACGACACTGAATAGCGTAATTTTCTCGTTAACCCTTTAGAACATTTCATGTAATATAAAGTGTTATGATCCAATGCCAAATCCTCTCACTGGATTTGTAGTTCATTGTCTTTTCTATGTCTCAATTTATCATAGGGATTGCATTTGTATTTTCATCTTAACCCCATAAAATGTGTTTGGTTCTTTTTATGTGCTCTAGAATTAACACTAATCTGATCTCTTCTGTTTTCTGCCTGTTTCCTGTTGATGCTGGAATGTCATGTGACTTCTCTTCTGTTCCTGAAATGATTTCTCCCTTCCACTTGTTTGCTTGGCTGGTGTTGCGCATCTTTCTGTCTGTCCAATCAGGATGGCATTGTAGCAGATGAATCCCAAAACTTGCAGTTTATGTCCAGTCAGAGCATGAAGCTTCCCCCTTCAAATAGTGCACTACCTAACCAGGCCCTCGGCTCCATAGCAGGGCTGGGTATGCAAAACTTGAATTCTGTTAGACAGGTAAGTCCATGTGTGTATTAGGCTCTCTGTTGAATGATTTGTAGAAGCAATAAGCTCTCTCTTATGTGTAGTTACTGTACTTAAATCAGTAATGTGATGTGGTAATGAGCTGTTGGTCCTGAAAAGCCCTGACTGTTTGTTTTTGTAGAATGGCAATCCCAGTATGTTTGGTGTTGGAAACACAGCAGCACAACCCCGGGGCCTGCAGCAGCCTCCAGCACAACCTCTCAGTTCATCTCAGCCTAATCTCCGTGCTCAAGTGCCTCCTCCATTACTCTCCCCTCAGGTTAATAAATTTCTATGGTATTCCCTTCTACTTACCTGGAAAAGAACCTTGAATCATTTTATAATTGAACTAGAGACACAATGCACAAAATTTCTGCAAGAGTAGGCCTTCCTTCCCCCCACTGCCGACTCCAGCTTCCCTCTGGCCGCTGGTCTTACCTCCTGCTGCCGGCACCCAGGACCCTGGCTTCCCTCACAGAGGGAGGCCCCACCCACCTGCCGCAGCCCACTGGTTGGTGGCCGAGGCCTCCCTCTTTGGGGCGATCGTGGAGGCCCCCCAATTGATGGCTTTGCTGGCTGGTGGCCTGGGCCTCTCTCTATGGGGTGATCATGGGATGATAGCCAGGCCCCCGACCAAGTGTATCGCATCCGCCTTTGCTGGCCTGGCACCAGTGGGTGTCATAGTGTGGTCCTAGAATGTCCTCCTGCTGTTCAGTTGTTTGGTTGATTTGCATATTTTGCTTTTATTATATAGGATTAGGTGAATGGTTGATCGTGATACATTTTTTTAAAATATGTATATTTTATTGATTTTAGAGAGAGAAAGGAGAGGGAGAGAGAAACATCAATGAGAGAGAAAATTAAGTCAGCTGCCTCTAGCATATCTCACACTGAGGATTGAGCTGCAACCTGGGCATGTGTCCTGACCTGAAATCAAACCTTTACCTGTTCATGGGTCAACACTCAACCACTGAGCCACATCGGCTGGGCAGTTGTAATACTTTTTGTTGACATATTTGAAATGCAGCTAATTCAAAGGATGTAGGGAAGGTGAAGAAAGTGAGTCAAAGGTAATTAAAATTTACCATTATATTTCATAAAACTTCTGAAGGGGGACAATAGCAAAGTACGTTTACTGATTTAAAATTCATCTCTTATCTTTTATTTAATTCATGAAAGTTTATGTGAATAGTAAGTTAGTAAATCAGGGAAAACAGTTACAAGGTATATGACATGCTCCCCAAAACAATAGTCTATAAATTTAATTGCTATGTTGATAATTTAAAATACATAGTACCTGTAGCTAGTTTGCATTATTTTATCCCATTATTAACTTACCATTGTGGTTCTCAGGTTCCAGTTTCATTGCTGAAGTATGCACCAAACAACGGTGGCCTGAATCCGCTCTTTGGCCCTCAACAGGTAGCCATGCTGAACCAGCTCTCCCAACTCAACCAGCTTTCTCAGATCTCCCAGTTACAGGTGCGTGGAGTGCAGGCCTGTCATGCGGTGTGCATTCAGTGTGTCCACTGTGGGCTAGACTGCAGGAGGTAGGGCAGTGGGCATACCAACAGCCATGATTCTCATGGAGCTTCCAGTGTGTCCGTGAAAACGACAGTGAGCCCAGTGGCATGACGCTGTGAGAGCAAGCCCAGCTGAGTCGGGAGTGCGGTGGGAGTAGAATGATGAAAAGAACTTTTCTGATGAAGTGGAAGTTTAGATTGAACAGATCTGCTGGAGGCCAGAGTCCGGGAAGAGATTGTTCGATTAGGCAGGTCATGCTGGTGCTGAGCAGATGAAGCCGTGCCTCTGCAGGTGCACCTGCCGCAGTCACTGAAGCCTGATCTGTGATGGCGTGGCACTGACATCTCTGCATTCTTCCCGCAGCGGTTTTTAGCACAGCAGCAAAGGACGCAGAGTCAGAGAAGCGTGCCTTCTGGGAACAGGCAGCAGCAAGACCAGCAGGTAGGTCTGAGTCTTCCCCTCGCTGTGCTGACCCGCCCCTCGTATCGCTTCCATTGTAACAAGACTCACAATGCCTTCCTGAAAACATAATGCAGTCGGTTGTTTACTAAGTCCTCTGCTTGCTCAGAGTTTAACCAGCTGGTACAGGGTGACTGTGCACCTTCCGAGGAGAGGGAAGTGGATGAGAAAGTGAAGGGGGATATGTATCTGGAAAGTCTTCACAGTTTTTCCCAATTGTTTTGTCGTTTTAAGGGTCGACCTCTTAGTGTGCAGCAGCAGATGATGCAACAGTCTCGCCAACTTGATCCAAACCTGTTGGTGAAGCAGCAGACGCCACCATCTCAGCAGCAGTCACTCCATCAGCCAGCCATGAAATCTTTCCTTGAAAATGTCCTGCCCCACACTACACCTGAGCTGCAAAAAGGGCCATCTCCAGTAAATGCTTTCAGCAACTTCCCTATAGGTGGGTTTCTCCTTGGCCACACGGTCAGCTGGTGTGTGGAAATCCCCGACCTGGCAGGGCTCTCCCCTCGTGAAGACAACACTGGTCCTTTATCTGTTCTTTTTTGTAGGTGCAGCCTGTCTTTTATGTTTCAGGGAATATGCTTCATGCTGTCTATTTAAGAAAACCACACTGTTTCAAAAACACCACATTCATATTTGCATGGGTTAGAATAAAGATAATATTTCTCTTAAGAACCTCAGGTATTTTAATTGTAGGATATGAACAGAAGTGGGATGGGTCAGTGAGACATTGAACAGCTGCTTTGATAAAACAGCTGAGAACACTAGCATTGTAGTTTTCAGAAGCTAGAAATTTGACTATTGTCTAGATATTTATACATGACTAGAGTCCTAGTGCACAAAATATTTGTGTGGAGGGGGGCACTTCCCCTCAGCCCAGCCTGTACCCTCTCCAATCTTGGACCACTGGCTCCTAACTGCTCGCCTGCCTGCCTGATTACCCCTAACTGTTCTCTCTGCTGGCCTGGTCACCCCCAACTGCCACCCCCTTTCCCAGCCTGGTTGCCCCTCACTGCCCCCTCTTCCAGCCTGGTCACCCCAACTGCCACCCGCTTCCAGCCTGGTCACCCCTCACTGCCACCCGCTTCCAGTCTGGTCACCCCTCACTGTCCCCTCTTCCAGCCTGGTCACCCCTCACTGCTCCCTCTTCCAGCCTGGTCACCCCACAGCCTGCTGTTTGGTCGTCCCTCACTAAACCCCTGCCGGCCTGGTCACCCCACGCCGCCGTTCGGTTGTTTCTGTTGCGATGGTCACTTAAGGTTATATATATCTATATATATATATATAGATTATTGGGGTAAATGTAGGAAATGGGGGTTGCCTTTGTCACATTTCCTGTAGCTTTCCCTTCCCTTTTTCACTCTATCTCCAAACTTGTACTTCCTCTGGAAATGTCAGGCTTATACGTGTTCCCTTGCCTTTAGGTCCCTTTTCTCCTTATGCCTTCGGTTCTATTTTGACCCTTGTTTGATCCCATCCTATTCATTTTTACTTTTACGTCTCTTCCCTGACAATTGTTGGTTGCTCATCCTGCTGGTCCAGCTGTGTTGAAGATGGTTTGTTTCCTTGCACCTTCTGGGCTGTGGGCTCCTGCTGCTCCTTCACTCTGGCTTAGCTGATGCAGGATTGGCTCTTCCTGGTATTGCCGTGGACTCTCGGCTGGGGCCTACATTGCACTTTGAGTCCTGAGGACTGTTCACTGTCTCTTTCCATTCCCAGATGTGGTTTCCTTGTCAGTTACCACTGTAAGTGGTGACCAGGCGGTCCCAGAAACAACAGTATATGTAGTAGTAAAAGAATACTCACGGACATTGGAAGGTTTTGGTCTCTCCAGCAAAGGGAAGTGATGCACTGTTTGGTTGCATACTGGTCATATATATTGGGCCAGTGAGGAGGTAACTGTACAGTGGAATCTTGTTTCTCAAACATCTCCCATCTCGAACAATTCACTTCTCAATCTGACAGCCGTTTCATGCAGGTGCCTGTACGATCAGCCACTGACCTCTCAGGTGACAAAGGAGAGAATGCACGAATATGAGTCGGGTTAGCACTGTTAACAACTCAGGATATTGTGCTGTGATTATTTTTGTGTTTTGTTGCTTTTGTTAAATTTTCATTTTTTTACTGTACATTTTCCTTTTTGTTAAATTTACATTTCATGTTCTTTCTGTTTTTAAAGTGTTTATAGATTAAACAGTACAATAGACATGTACAGTACATGAGAAAGGTTAAAATGGGGGGATATTTGGGGACATGGAATGGATTAATTCAATTTACATTATTTCTAATGGGAAAAAAATGATTTGGTTTTCCAACAGCCTTCCGGAACAAAAGTAAGTTCGAGAAACAAGGTTCCACTGTATATGGATTTCCTGTCCAGGCTGGCTTCACAGCGAGAATACTTTTTCCTGATTAAAAAAGTCTACTTAGCTTATGCAAACACCAGGATAGTTCTCTAAATCAGTTGTGAAAAACTAGAGCCTGTTGCCCAGATTTGGCCAGCTGCCTAATTTTGTAAATAAAGTTTTATTGGAACACAGCCCTGCTCTTTCATTAATGCATTTTCTGTAGTTTTTGTGCTGTAACAACAGTAGTATAGAAACAGACCTTGTGGCCTCAGAGCCTAAGATATGTACTCTCTGAACCATTAAAGAATTTGCCTCACTTGGGTTTAATTGACTGGTCCAGAGAATAGCAACTGTAATTACTCTTTTCAAAAATAGATACGATATTAGAGAATTCGTGTTAAATTTCTTAAGTCTGGCTGACCTGATATCCCGCAAACTGTCTTGAGACCAAAGTATTTAAAACCATTTGTTTTTTAAACTTTAGGATAACCAGCTGGATGTGTGCTAAAAATCTGACTTCATTTTTGATAAGCATCTCAGATGATTCTGATGTTGACTGTCCCCAGATCACATTGTAAGAAACATTGGAAGAATAGGTCCGTTTTCTGACCATAGTACTAAAGATGGACATTTCCATCCTTGTTCCATGAGACTGATCCTGACATATCATTGTTAGGGTTGTAGTAAATTGCACCTTAGAGTATGGGGCTCTGGCCTTGAGGTGTAATTGTTAGAGCAGAACAGTTCTTTTGTTTGTTTTTTATTTAATTACTAGAGGCCCTGTGCACAAAATATGTGCACAGGGAGGGTCCCTAGGCCTGGATGGCCATCAGGGTTGACCGGGGCCTTCCAAATGCCAGCCGGGGCCTGCCTTCGCTCCGTGCCACCCCCTGGTAGTACACACATGTCATGAGCTATCGAACTCCTGGTCAAACTTCCCCTCAGGGACACTTGGCATATGAGCCTTTTATATATTTAAATATATTTTTATTGATTTCAGAGAGGAAGGGAGCGAGATGGAAATGTTAATGGTGAGAATCACTGATTGACCTCTTCTGCACATCCTCTCAACCTGGTCAAGTGCTATTAAACAAGTTGAAAATTACTCAGTTTGCAAGCAAAAGTTAGCAACTGAAGGTGATCGTATATAATATTTTATGCATGGTACTCTTGGAAAGTAGCTAAAGTTTATAAGCTTATTAGAGATAAGCTTATAAACTTCAATATTTGGCCTCCTAAAATTTTTTTCTCTTATTCTGCCAAGGAATCCTATATGATAATCATATATAATAAAAGGGTAATATGCAAATCCGAACGGTGGAATGACCAATCGCTATGACATGCACTGACCACCAGGGGGCAGATGTTCAACACAAGAGCTGCCCCCTGGAGGTCAGTGCACTCCCACAGGGGGCGCACCACTCCTCCAGAAGTCAGGCTCATGGCTGGCAAATGCAGCGGCGGTGGCCGGCTCCCACCTCTGCAGCAGCGCTAAGGATGTCTGACTTCGGGTTAGGACATCCCCCGAGAGCTCCCAGACTGCTAAGGGCACAGGCTGGGCTGAGGGGCCTTCCCTCCTCCTGAGTGTGCAAATGTCCTGCACCAGGCCTCTAGTTTAAAAATAATCAAAATTATGTGGAGAAATAGTTTCCCACAGATAATGAGTGCAGTTTTATAGTAGTAGCAGTTTTATGGTTTGAAAACGTATTATTGAGTATCAGAATAACCACTTAGGAGTTCTGCGTTGCGCGCTCTGGTAACCGCACTGTGGTGTTCTCCCCACACTGTGTCTGCATGACATTGGCCAGGAACAGAGTGTTGGTTCCACCTGCCTGGCCTTTGTCTGATTATTTGGCTGTGTCACATTTGCAGGATTATCTTTATTAAGGAATTCAGGCAAGATTAAAAACATTAGTTTTTCTAGGAAGTGGAACTTATACAGGAAGAAGAACATGCTATATATTATAAACTTTTGTAATTGTTATTTTATTTTTAAGGCTTGAACTCAAACTTGAATGTAAATATGGATATGAACAGTATTAAAGAGCCACAGTCAAGACTAAGGAAGTGGACTACAGTGGACAGCATTTCTGTGAACACATCTTTGGATCAAAACTCCAGCAAACATGGTATAAAATGCATTCTTATTTTTTAAAAAACTGTGGAATATTAACTTTAGGTCTTTATTTTAAATGCATATTTTTAAAAGCTAAGTTCTCTTAGAACCTCTCCTCGTTTCTAAAAGTGCTTTATTAATAAATCTCAGTTGAAACAAAAAAAGCAAAATTAATCTTTATTATGTTGTTATAAAAAATAAAAATCAGATTATACGTTTTTTTAAAAATATTTTCTTTTTGATGGTCTTTTAGTCTTTTGCTATTGATTTTATTGTTCTAATGTTCTATTTATTAACATTTATAAAATTTATTGTGATGTAGAGTACTAAACACTTCCACCATAATTTGATTTCTAGCATTTTCTTTTTTTAATTTTTTTAAATATATTTTATTGATTTTGTACAGAGAGGAAGGGAGAGAGAGAGAAAGTTAGAAACATCGATGAGAGAGAGTCATCGATCAGCTGCCTCTTGCACACCCCCTACGAGGGATATGCCCGCAGCCAAGGTACATGCCCTTGACCGGGATCGAACCTGGGACCCTTCAGTCCCCAAGCCGACGCTCTATTCATTGAGCCAAACTGGTTTCAGCATGATTTCTAACATTTTCTTATATATTGACACATTTTCTTTATATATTTGTTATGTGTAAATCACATAGATCCAGAATTCTATTCACCAGTTAATTACAGTTTTAAAATATCATTTTCATCTTATTTAATATCCATTCATCTAGCCACTATAAATAGACTACCTTCTGCTTTCCCAGGACTCTTCCTGGGAAAGCAGAAGGTACATATACATAGGTGCATATGTACATACACAGTTGAATATGTAAGCAAGTGAAAAAGTCGGAACCAAATGGAGGATTTAACAGGGAAGTGACAGCGATGGGGATGGCTTTAGAGAGACTCATCATGGGCGAAGCCTGCAAGTTCATCAACTGAATAAGAGAGAGAACAATAAAGAATGTAAGTAGCACATGAGCCCTGGCTGGTGTGTTCAGTGGTTAGAGCACTGGCCCACGCACCAAAGGGTTCACACCCCACCCCTGTGGGGGCTCGTGCGGAAGGTGACCAATCAATGTATCTCTCTCCCTCTCTCCCAACCTCCCTCCCTCTCTTTCCCTCTCCCTCTCCCTCCCTCCTCCCCCCCCCCTCTCTCTCTCTCCCCTTCCCCTGCCCTTCCTCCCTCCCTAAAAAATGCAAGTAGCTAGAAGAGGAAGCCAGAAAAGAAGGGAAGGGAATTGGTGGAATGACTGCATCAGGTCAGGGGCAGGTTATGCCCTGCCGAGTGGCATGGGGGCCTGGCGAGGTCCTGCCCGGCCACCCTTAGTGACTGGCACAGGAACTTTGGAGGCTGTGACCTGCCTCCAGGGAACCTGTGTTTCACTGGAAGCTCCAGCTAGAGCAGCTCAGGTCCATGAACCAGAGCTTCTCCCAGCCATGGAGATTCAAGGCTAGTGGCCGGGTCCTGGCTCTCCTTTCTCACCCTTGCCCTTCCATTCTATAAATTGTGCCTCCTTCCATCATGTTATGGAAGCTGGCAACTTAGAGACATTCGCTTTTTAGTCAATGTTCATTGAGATAATTTACAGATAATACAACCTTTTTTGAGGTGAATGATTCAGTGGCTTTCAGTATATTCTCAGAGTTCTAAATCCATCACCACAATCAATTTTTGAACATTTTCTTATCCCAGAAGAGCCCCTCAGCTATCATTCTTTCTGCCTCTACTTGTCCGTCTCTCCTAGCCATAAGCAAAGTTCATCTTTCTGGGCTTAGTACACTTGTCTATAATGCGCATTTGGTGTAGGTGGTGACAGGTACTATCTGGTCTTGTGAGTAGCGTTTTGGCTTAGCTCGGTGCTTTCAAGGCTCATTCCTGTTGCAGCATGCCGAGGTGCTTCATTCCTTCTTCATTCAGCAGTAGACAGCTGTTTGGGTCCAGGAGGTTTTCTTGAGTTCTTTCTTGCTCCTACCTCCATATCCAGTCTACCTATGATGAGTGCCCCTTCTACTTCCCAAATGCAGGGTGCACACACCCATGTGTTCCGCTGTCTCCCGACGTCAGCCACTTCGTGCACACCTGCCTTTCAGGGGCCTGAAACATAGCCCCAGGCTCACTTCTCTTAAAACACTTCAAGGTGAGGTCCTCCTTGCTGTGTCCAACAGAGTCCTGCATGAGCCCTGGCTCCTGGTGTCTTCCAGGACTGCTGGTCTACAGCCGTGAGGCCTGGGGCAGCTGGAGCAAGCACACCACTCCTGCCACCTTCCATTCCAGATGTTTAGAACAGCAGACTCTGGCATCCCTCCCTTCGAGATCAGAACTCCATCCTCCATGTTGCTCACAAATGGTCTTTCAGTTCTCAGACTGCTGCTCCGTTCCTCTCCTCAGGTCCTTACAGGCCGCACCTGCACCTAGAATCCCACCCCAATCTTTTGCATGAGGGCTCAGCCCCTCCTTGCCTTATGCTCTGTCCTTCTGTTGCTGATCACTTGTTCACCTCTTTGTGAGAATCCATTGTCATTAAGGGTGAGGACTCCATTCATCTCACTCAGCTTTCTGTGTCCAGCATTGAACACAGCGCCTGACCTGGCCTCAGAAAACACTGGTTGCCACTGTGTAAAGCATTCCTCATTCTAAAGTGAGCTCAGGGATAGGCATGGAGGATAGATCTCAACATAGACGGTCGTTTCTAAGTGTTAGCTGTGTTTTGATGGGCTTGCACACTTGTAGTAACAGATACCAAGTATTACAGATGTCTCTTTCCCCCCCATTGACTTCCCCAGCCGCTACCAACTCCCAGCACATGCCCTTACTCCCCCTAATGTCTGAGTCCTTTGGTTATGCTCAAATGCATGCATGCAAGTCCCTTGCTTGAGCTCTTACTCTCTTCCCATGTCTTCCTTCTGAGGTTGGATGGTCTGTTTGATGCTTCTATGACTCTGGCTCTATTTTTGTTCATCAGTTTATGTTGTTCATTATATTCCACAAATGAGTGAGATTATGTGATCTTTATTTTCCTCTAATAGCTTATTTCACTTAGCATAATGCTCTCCAGGTTCATCCACGCTGTTGTAAGAGTTCCTTCTTTTTTACAGCAGCATAGTATTCCGTTGTGCAGATGTACTACGGCAGTGGTCGGCAAACTCATCAGTCCACAGAGCCAAATATCAGCAGCACAACGATTGAAATTTCTTTGGAGAGCCAAATTTTTAAATTTAAACTTCTTCTAATGCCACTTCTTCAAAACAGACTCGCCCAGGCCGTGGTATTTTGTGGAAGAGCCACACTCAAGGGGCCAAACAGCTGCATGTGGCTCGCGAGCCGCCATTTGCCAACCAACTACAGTTTTGTAATCCACTCATCTGACGAGCATTAGGCTGTTTCCAAATTCTAGCTATTGTAAATATTGCTATGAACATAGGGGTGCATAGGTCCTTTCTGATGGGTGTTTCTAGTTTCTTGGAATATATTCCTAGAAGTGGGATTACTAGGTCGAATGTGAGTTCCATTTTTAATTTTTTTAGGAAACTCCATACTGTTCTCCATAGTGACTGCACCAGTCTGCATTCCCACCAGCAGTGCACGGGGGTTCCTTTTTCTCCGCATCCTCGCCAGCACTTGTCGTTGGTGATGTTCTTGACTGTAGCTCTTTCTTCCTCTCCAGTACCTCTCATTCACCCCCAGCAGGAATCCCACAAAGGGTGCACTGTGCTTGTTCTCAGCTTAGGCCTTAGTACGAGTGTCTTCATGACTTGGCAATAATTTTGTACTCTTATCCTGACAGTATCTCTCAGCCGTGCATCTTCGCACCACAGAACACAGGACGGACCTTGTTGTGTATTTTGCTCCTATCTCATGGTCATCGTTCTCTTTTTAGGTGCTATTTCAAGTGGTTTCAGGCTGGAAGAGTCTCCGTTTGTTCCCTATGACTTCATGAACAGCAGTTCTTCGCCAGCCAGCCCTCCAGGCTCAGTGGGAGATGGCTGGCCACGTGCCAAATCGCCCAATGGCTCTAGCAGTGTTAACTGGCCACCAGGTAAGATGCCAGCAGCTTCCGTCATGATTTAGTACTGATTTAGCCCAGTTCTGGCTGTTGGACTGAGTGCTCGTACAAATAAATGCCGAGGGAGAGTGAAGTCGGGTATCACATCTGCCCTGTGGCCAGTGCCTTCTGCTTCAAGCAGTGAGAGTGGGACTGGCCCACCCCTGGCACTCATGCCCCATCTTCCCTTGTGCCAGGGACCCTCCGGGCAGCATCTCAGTTGTGCTGCGGTGTAGGCAGAAACGCTCCTGTGGCCTGCACACCCGCTCAGTTGCCGTGGCTTGGTGCCTGGTGATAGAGCACCGTAGGACGTTGCTGTTTGAGGTGTACGAACCCAGAGCATTGGTTCCTATTGTAAGAACCTGCACGTAAATAACAGCCTGTGCGCATCTCATTTTGTTAACGAATCAAAATGCTTGTGATTTTCATAGGTCTTAGGAGTAAATATTTTACATTGTTTAATAATGGTGATTAAGCCTGACCTAATTTAAAATTTTCATCTCCAGAATTTCGCCCTGGTGAACCATGGAAAGGTTATCCAAACATTGACCCAGAAACTGACCCTTACGTCACTCCTGGCAGTGTCATCAACAATCTTTCAATTAACACTGTGCGGGAAGTTGACCACCTCAGGGACAGGAACAGTGGTATGTAGGCGGGGACACTTCTGCTTCTGGACAGCATGGTGTACGCATGGCTCAGAGTAGGTGTGACGCCTCTGCAGCAAGATCCCCGGCCCATCTCAGCCCCTGGCGCCCAGGGAACCGGGCAGTGGGAGCAAAAGGGTCTCATCCCGTAGGCAACTCCTCAGCACTTTTAAGTGAGAAGGATTTGTTCTCACTTGATCTAGTAAACACACAGGTGCAGTTAACGAAGGCCCAACAATTATCTGGTTTCCAGTCATTGTATTAGCAGCTGCAGGTTGTTGCCTCCTTTATCCTGCTGTGGCTATTGTGGGTATTAAGAAATGGGTGTTTTTTGTAAAAGGTGTATCTTCATTATTATTTATACACCTCTGAATATTAAAAGACTGTCATCTGGAAAAGCAATTTGACTTTCTCTGTCTTTCAGAGAGTGGAAATAATACCAATTTTAAGGATCCCTATAGTCCAGATGCACTTTTTAATGTGTTATCAAATAAAGTCATCCTACTACCAACATGTGGTTGTATTTACAGTATTTCGTGGGTGCACTGAAAGGAAGGAGAATGAAGTGAGAGTATTTTCCGTTCTTGTAACATTTATCCTTCCACCTGTCCCTTTAAACAGTTTTTAATAAAGAAAATATGCGCCAGTCTGCATCTTATATTAGATGTGTCATTGGCCAGCAGGTGTTGCCATGTCACAGTGGTGAGCACAGTTGGGCAGACAGCTCTGCAGAAGTGGGTAGAGCCACTACCTTCCCAGGGGAAGGAGTAGGGACAGCCACACGGCATCCTCCTGTCGTGGTGGCTCATGGGAGATTGCTCCCAGAGATGGCGGCTTCTTATCAGGGGGAGATTCTGAAAGTCAGAGGGGGGGTGAGTTTTGATATTCAGAGAAACCACTGAAGGTTTTGAGTGGAAGAGTCAACCTGTATTTAAGGTGGGTGAACAGGTGGATTGGGGTGGGAGACCCACCACGAGCTGTTAGAGCGATCAGATAATGGTCAGTGGAGCTAAACTAGAGAAAAGGGTAGGGGCTAGGTTTTGGAGACTGAATCTGGGGCATGATGGAGGAGGAGAAAGGCCTGGCCAGGCGGAGCTGGCCAGAGAGACAGCTCTCAGCATGCTGTTTGAATAAGAAGGGGCAGTTTCTGGTGGTCTCAGAGCCTGAGCATGCCTGTGCTTTCTCGAGATGGCTGTGAAGTTGTTTTGCTAGGCGCCTTTGCTTGTTCTAAGACACCAGGTCACTTACCCTGGGGATGACTAACTGGGCTCTTTCCCCACATAGGGTCATCCTCATCCTTGAACACCACGCTGCCTTCAACTAGTGCCTGGTCATCCATTCGTGCCTCCAACTACAACGTTCCCCTCAGCAGTACAGCACAAAGCACTTCAGGTGGGCGGGGCGGGGTCGTGGGGGTGGGCCTCCCCGGTCTGCTGAGACCCCTGCTCTCAGCAAGCTCTCCGCTCTCCGCTCTCCGTGGGAGTAGTGCTGTCTGTTCGCCGCACACCTGCTTCCGTGAGGCCGCAGCCAGGAAATTAGCCTTCTCTCGCTCTTTTTTTTTTAAATATATTTTTATTGACTTCAGAGAGGATGGGAGAGGGAGAGAGAGAAACATCAATGATGAGAGATTCATTGATCGCTGCCTGCGGGTTCTGGGGTTTGGAGGTGAAGGAGCACTTTCTTGGCTTGTTTTCTTCGGCAGTTTGGTTTGCTTTAGGGGTTTTTAATAATCTCACTTTGTTTGATTTGGTTTAGGGGGAAAGTGGATGTTATTTAAATTTGATCTTTTCTAAAAGCATTATCTCCCCCCTCCCACTTTTTGTTCCCTTTGAGTAGCCAGAAGTAGTGATTCCAAATTGACGTGGTCTCCGGGGTCAGTCACAAACACCTCTCTGGCCCACGAGCTGTGGAAGGTCCCTTTGCCACCTAAAAACATCACTGCTCCATCCCGTCCACCTCCGGGGCTCACTGGTCAGAAGCCTCCCTTGTCTACGTGGGATAATTCTCCTCTTCGTGTAGGTGGAGGATGGGGAAATTCTGACGCCAGGTATACCCCAGGTAAGATGAGTGCCGAGCACTGGCCAGCACGCAGGCTGGGGTGACGGAGGCAGTGCCGTCTGTCAAGGGGGCTGGAACCAGCACAGCGTGTTCCACTGCGCACTCTTTGCGGTCTCCACGTCACCCGCTCACCTAAGAGCACTTGGCAGACGGTGGTCAGTGAGTGGAATGGGGCTCCTTTCTTTGAGAAGTTCCTCACCTGCTCCTCTTAAAATGTGCGGTAATTTCTCCCTCCTGGCCGGCCCTCAGAGCACACCGCGTGTGGCACAGGGCAGAAGCCGCCAGGCAGGGCCGGGAAAGCCTGGCCTTGATGTAGGGGCTCATAAAATCCATTGCAGGGGTTTTTGTTTTATATGTTTTTTATTTTATTTTATTTATTTATTTATTTATTTATTTTTAGGGGGGTGGGGGGAGAGGGATAGAAACATTGATTGGTTGCCTCCTGCACAACCCCCACTAGGAATCGAGCCCACAACCCAGGCAGGTGCCCTGGCTGGGAATCGAACTGTGACCTGGTTCATAGGTCAATGCTCAACCACTGAGTCATGCCAGCTGAGCTAAACTGAGACATTTGAGAGGGACGGGGTGCTGCTGGTGAGACAGCAGCAGGCATAAAGCAGACTGTCTTAGGAAAGGGGCAGAGGGCGCTCCTCCTGCTGCGCCCGCACGTGACCAGCTCCCCAGCAAGCCCAGGTTGGACTCAGAACTTCTGCCGGTTCTTACTTCCTTGTGCCCTGCCCCCGGACTGTACCAAACTTGGTCATCTCCAGGCTGAAAATAGTAATATCTCAGGGATTTCTGATCTTTAGAAAGGTGACTTAGGGAAGTTTCGATTACATGAAAATACTTGAGTCTGTTTTAAGCTACTAAATGCAAATTAACGTATTGGGTGTTGTGTGTTCTTCCTGGCCACAGCCACCTGGGGGCCAGCTCCTCTAAGGGGCTAGTGCAGTGTGAGGGGAGGCCTGCGAGCCGCCCCGCGGAGGCTTGTGGAGCTGAGTGGGACCAGGCAGCCAAGCCGAGCAGAGGGAGCAGCATGAGGCTCCGCCCTGGGACGCACTAGGGTTCCCTGCTGGACTTGAAGAAGGTTCAGGAGCCGTGGGTGGAGCTACCTCCCGAGCTGTAAGGAGTGTCTGTGAGGCACCTGGGAGCAGTTGTAAACGGCGCTGACTTGATCACATCTTCCAGGTCTGCTGCAGGGAGAGAGCAGAAAGCAGGTGGCATGCCCCATGGGGACCCAGACAGAAACGAGGCTGTCTGCTCAGTTACCAGCTCGAGTGCCCCTCAGGGCTCCAGTTCATCAGAGGACATGAGAGGCCTTCCCCAACTGGTAGTCTTTTGAGACAGCTTTAGCTTCATAAATGAAAATACCCCCAAGGGAGGCCTGCCTTTGTGCCTCACTAGCCAGGAGCCCCGTGACCACCACGTACCGTGATGAGACTGGGATGTGCTTGCCCTTGGTTACCGCTCCAGCCACAGCCTCGGGAACTGACTTGTCCTCTTTCTTCCTTGTTCAGGGTCCAGCTGGGGTGAGAGCAGCTCAGGGAGAATAACAAATTGGCTTGTTCTAAAAAACCTTACACCTCAGGTAAGAGCACGGCACTGGTGGGGGCGGATGCACGCGGCGGCCTGGGAGAGGAGGTCTCCGGGCTCTGAAGTGGGGGAAGGGCTGCCGGGCCTGAGGGGGAGTCGGGGCGAGCAGGGGAGATGGCTTTGGGTCTCAGGCGGGCTCCTTGATGCCCTTGGAGAGCCCTGGTCTGCCCTGTTCAATGAGGCCGTTTTCTGAATGCCTGGGCCACCCCCGTGGAGGCTGGTGTTCGAGCCCACCCTCCTCCCACACGGAGCGGTGCCTGGATGGGCCCTGCCTCAGGGCCCCGGAGAGAAGACTTGGAGCCACAGCAGCGCCATGGCTGCCTCAGGAACTGAGGACAAGGGAAGTGACGCAGGGACGAGAGGCCAGGGAGGTATGGCTCTGGGACCAGTGGACGTGCATGCTGGTCCCAGAGCCATACCTCTGTGGCCTCTGGACCCCATCACAGCAGAGAGTCCCGGGTAAAGCGGCGCCAGCAGTGAGACATCAGGCGACAAGGAGGACGAGCGTCGCATCCGGGACAGCTTCCCCAGTGTCCTCGCGTCGCGCGGTGCCGCTAACTGGCACTCGCCCTGTCTCCTAGATCGACGGCTCGACTCTGCGCACCCTGTGCATGCAGCATGGCCCCCTGATAACATTCCACCTGAACCTCCCGCACGGAAACGCTTTGGTCCGCTACAGCTCCAAGGAAGAGGTAGTGAAGGCACAGAAGTCTCTGCACATGTAAGTGGGCTGCTCTGGGCGCCCCCCGAGCCCTCCTGCCTGGAGAGCTCGGGGTGAGAGCACACCTCCCGCAGCACCCCGGTCTGGTGGCCAGGAAATCCCCGCACCGCCGCCCTGTTGGGGATGGTGTCGCAGGCCCGAGCTCAGGGAGGGAGGCGGGAGGGGTGCTGGGTACCTGGTCCTCACGTGCGCTTCTCCTCCTCAGGTGTGTGCTGGGGAACACTACTATTCTTGCTGAGTTTGCCAGTGAAGAGGAGATCAGTCGTTTCTTTGCACAAAGTCAGTCTCTGACCCCTTCCCCTGGCTGGCAGTCCCTCGGGTCCAGCCAGAACCGGCTGGGCTCCCTCGACTGTTCCCACCCGTTCTCCAGCCGGACTGATCTCAGTCACTGGAATGGTGCTGGGCTGGCGGGGACTAACTGTGGAGACCTCCATGGCACTTCCCTCTGGGGGACCCCCCACTATTCCACAAGCCTGTGGGGCCCTCCAAGCAGCAGTGACCCCCGAGGAATGAGCAGCCCCTCCCCCATCAATGCTTTTCTTTCTGTTGACCACCTCGGCGGGGGTGGAGAGTCCATGTGACAGGTAGAGGTAGACTCGTGACCGCGACCTCAAGACACAAAGGAAGGGGCACTAAAAGCTGAGCTCGCCGCCTGCAGCGGGGCGCCTGTGGGAACAGCTCTTCTGCACATTTTCCACTTTGTTTTCCCCGAAACATATCAGTTGAATACTTGAATCATGCAGGCCAATACTATAATGTGAAGGTGTCTCGTTACACTCCCACTGGCGCCATACGTGCTGACCGCGTAGTGAGCTCACCTGTGCGAACTCATCATGTTTAGCCTTTGGGTTCTTTTTTTTTTTTTTCTTTCTATTCCCACACCCCCACCCTTATCTTTTTTTTTTTTTTTTTCAAAACCATTGTTTGGGCTGATAACGTATGAGCTTTTACCTTTGCACTGAATGATGTTCTCTCCGTCTAATCGGCAATATGGGGGGGGCAGCTGTTCCGTGTGATGTTTACTCAAGGATGTCCTTAAGGTGTGCGCTCTCTACTATGCCTTGATGTCCGCTACCTTACTGTGTGTCGTGGAGTTGGAGATCACGTTATGATGCTGACTTAGGACGATAAATGAAAGTGTTGCACCGTTTCTTCATGTTCTAAAACTAAAGAATTTCGCTCTGCAGTTTGAAAAACTGTGGCCACAGCTGTGACTTGCAGCCCGCCTGCACCAGGGGCCCTGCACTTTGAACGGGCTTTCCATTTTCTTTTGAAGGCTCTCACGTTGACCTTCTTGTTTACAGATTTTTTTGTTTGTTTTTTGAGAAAAAAAAATGTTTACTCTTCCATCATTAAAAAAAAATGTAAAAGACAAAAAAAAAAAAAAAAAAAGGAGGATTTAAAAGATGCTTTCTATCTCTGGGAAAGGAGCAGCATTTGGCCATGTTCTTGTTTTCTATTCCTGTCCTAAATCAAAGAGCATGGTTCTCAGGAAAACCGGGTCCCCAGTCAAACAAAAACAAAACCTTGTAGTTTCTTATAGGAAAAAAGGAAACCCCAAGTTTTAGCACTGATACTATGTATTGCTCTGTTAAAGAATTTTCTCTGCCAAAAAAAAAAAGAAAAACAAAAAAACGCTTCAAGCTGGAGTTTGACGTTCTGCTTCAGATGCTGTCTTTTTATTAGTGTGATGATGGTTTGCTATGATCAGTAGGGAATCATTTTTGTAATTCCATCAAGTGGCTCTGTTCCTGCTGTCGTGACTGTGTTATGTCTAATGTTGTACCTTAAAGCTGAAATCAGTAACTATGCATCCTGTAAGCACCGTTTGGGGCTTACAGAGTCGTTCATTGTAGAAAGGAAATTTTAAATGTTGTTGCAAACTAACGAGTTACACCATTTTTACAGTTTCTTTCTCTCCTCCCCCCTTTTTTGCCCACAAATGGTATTATAATGCTTGCTTAGTCACAGGAGAGACTAAACAAGGGTAAAAATTTTAACACAGAGAATTTGCCATCATTTCATTGCCTTGATTCTAACTGTTTGTGTCCTATGATGCAAAAGAAGTCAGTGGCTTTTAACTGTTTACAAATAGAATGTGATTGTAAATGTACAGTTTGGTTGTGTTTAATTATGAAATTTCTTCAGATATAATAAACCATGACTTTTTGGCTGCTCAACATCAATTGTCTCTTTTTTGTGAATTTATTTGTACGCTCTTTTTTATAATGAAAGTTTTCAAGTTGCTATGTATGAGGATTCTCGTAGAGCAACCGATTAAAAATATAAGCAAATATTGGAACATTTTAACTGAACTTATCCACAATCTCACCCTGAAACAATGTGAGAACAACGGGAGCTCAGCTGGCTCCCGCCCGCCCTCCGCGCCTGTGGGACCGGCTGCTCAGCGCTCCTTGACTCATCTTCCCCGCCATCCGTGCCGGCGCAGGCCCAGCAGACACGCGGAGCAGGAGGCCGCTGCCCGAGTGTCTGGTGTGAGCTCAGACCTCTTCCCGGGCAGGAGCCGCCGGACGGCCCTCCCGCCCCAGCAGCCTCCGGCGGCCTGTGCTCGCCGCGCCGGGCTTCACTGCGGCCGTTCGCCGGGTGTGAGCCGTGTTCCGTGCATTCGATGTGTATTGACTTCCACACTGGTTTTTCCAAAAACCAAAGGTAGCTTCGAAAAACCACGTCTGGAAATGTTTGGGACGTCACGCTAACTGACCTTTGGGGCTTTGGGTAGTACATAATTGACTTCATAACTGCGTTAATTGTATTGTCCAAGTGTTTGGGAGTTTTTTGCGCTTGTTATGTGGAAATAAAGTGTTTGATTAAAAAATGAGCCAGTGGGTTTTTTTTGTTTTTTTTTTTTTAATATATTTTATTGATTTTTTTACAGAGAGGAAGGGAAAGAGAGAGAGAGAGAGCTAGAAACGTCAACGAGAGAGAAACATCGACCAGCTGCCTCTTGCACACCCCCTCCCGGGGATGTGCCCGCAACCAACGTACATGCCCTTGACCGGAATCGAACCTGGGACCTTTCAGTCCGCAGACCGACGCTCTATCCACTGAGCCAAACCGGTTTCAGCCAGTGGTTGGTTTTTGCTTGGTCCTTCAACAACACAGCTCTGCTCCCTAAGCCCCTGGCTTCGCCGAAGCCTGCTTTCACCTCCCGCCTGCCCGCCTTCGTCCCACCGGGAGTCTGGCGTCCCCGGGGCCTGGTGCAGGGCGCTGGCCGCCCGCAGGAGCCCAGCCCCGTCCACCTCCGTGCCAGCGCACGGCCAGCCATTTCCGAGGCGCTCCTGCTCCCGCAGCCGGGGGTGCTGGCTCTGACCTGCATCTCCCTCGCAGACGCCCCTCGCTGCTCCCGTCGCTAACGTGTCTGGCTGTCCCAGCAGGACCTCCAGGTCCTGTGCCAGGTGACAAGGAAGCTCCTGCTCCGATGCGTGGTAGTTGCTAAATATGGGAAGGAAGTACACTTACCTATCCAAAGATGGTGGGTGAGCCAGGGACGGCGGAGGTGAGCTTAACAGCAGCACAGGTTTCGATCCAGGCCGGAGTACAGACTGCGGTTGCATCGAGCAACGTGGCTGTAGGACCAGAATCAAACCCGGACCTTTCAGTCCGCAGACTGAGCCAAACCGGCTAGGGCTGCTTGGTTTTCTGTGCATCAAATCATTCTGTATAGACTTGTTTCAAAACAAAAAAACTCCCGTTGCCCAGTCCTGCACTAAAATGTTGAAGTATTCTTGGAAACAGGCCTTTGTTGCATCAGTTCTGACGGGAAGTGGCCTCCAAACTCTGGGTGAGAGTGGAACCCTCACTTGCTGTGGGTTGAACTAGCCCAGCCCCTGATGGGTTTGGGGTTGCAAATTCCTTTAGAACCACTGCTAGTAAGTGGAGAAAGCAGCCACCAGGGGGCGCACAGTGAGTTCCTTTTCCTGGAAGAAGCTTTGAGAAATCCAGTCAGCTAAAAGGGAGGGCAGCAGGCAGGCATTGTAATTAAATCTTAAAAAACAAAATAGAAAATAGCAAATCAAGCCAAAACCTTTAGTAGTCCTGGCCCACCGGTGGGTTCGTCCCCTGCACCAAAAGGTTGCTGGTGATTCCTGGTCCGGGCACATATCTGGGCTGGGAGCTTGATCCCAGGTGGGGGCGTGCAGGGGGCAGCTGACCAATGCTTTGCTCTCTCCCTTTTCCTTCCTCTCTCTAAAATCAAAGATATTGAAACAGAAATCTTTGGTAAAGGTCTCTCTTCCAGGGGTCAGCAATCCCTGTCCGGGCTCTGACCTGGGACCTCTATCCCGGAGAGTAAGAGCTTCGACCACCGTATTCACAGCTCCGTGCCTGCCGTCACACACTGAAACGTTTTGTCGGCCTCGCAGAACCCACACGTGGGGCCTTGCCCGCAGCAGCAGTCACCGCAGAGGTGCCGTCCACGGCCTGCCTGTCGTAGGGCAGGACACTCGGTACCCCGGCCCCTGCCTCCCGACGCCCCAGGGCCTCCTCCCTCCGGAGCCCAGGCCCGGCCGCCGCCTCCTCAGCTCAGAACACTCCCCCTGCTCCCCCTCCCCCTCCCCGTCATCCTTCTGTCTCCGAACCCCCCACCACCATCCTTCTGTCTCCGAGCCCCCCTACCTCCTCCCCAACATCCTTCTGTCTCCGAGCCCCCCTCCTCCCCACCGTCCTTCTGTCTCCAAACCCCCCTCCTCCCCACCATCCTTCTGTCTCCAAACCCCCCTCCTCCCCACCATCCTTCTGTCTCCGAACCCCCCTCCTCCCACCGTCCTTCTGTCTCCAAGCCCCTCTCCTCCCCACCATCCTTCTGTCTCCAAGCCCCCCTCCTCCCCACCATCCTTCTGTCTCCAAACCCCCCTCCTCCCACCATCCTTCTGTCTCTGAACCCCCCTCCTCCCACCATCCTTCTGTCTCCGAACCTCTCTCCTCCCCACCATCCTTCTGTCTCCGAACCCCCCTCCTCCCACCATCCTTCTGTCTCTGAACCTCCCTCCCACCATCCTTCTGTCTCCGAACCTCCCTCCTCCCCACCATCCTGTCTCCGAGCCCCCCTCCCTCCTCCCACCATCCTTCTGTCTCCGAACCTCCATCCTCCCCACCGTCCTTCTGTCTCCGAGCCCCCCTACTCCCCACCATCCTTCTGTCTCCGAACCTCCCTCCCTCCTCCCCACCATCCTTCTGTCTCTGAACCTCCCTCCTCCCCACCATCCTTCTGTCTCCGAACTCCCCTCCCTCCTCCCCACCATCCTTCTGTCTCCGAACTCCCCTTTCTCCTCCCCACCATCCTTCTATTTCCGAACCCCCCTCCTCCCCACCATCCTTCTGTCTCCGAACCCCCCTCCTCCCCACCATCCTTCTGTCTCCTAGCCCCCCTTCCTCCTCCCCACCGTCCTTCTGTCTCCAAACCCCCCTCCTCCCCACCATCCTTCTGTCTCCGAACCCCCCTCCTCCCCACCATCCTTCTGTCTCCGAACCCCCCTCCTCCCCACCGTCCTTCTGTCTCCGAACCTCCCTCCTCCCCACTGTCCTTCTGTCTGAGCCGCTCATGCACACAGGCTTCCCGGCC